AAAGGAAAAATTGAAATCGCATCATATGACCCCTTTAAAGATGTTGATTGTGTATGTAGCAACAACATATCTTACGTTTACTACAAAATATGCATGCATATCCACAAATATTTAAGTAATCTGAGAGTGACTCTGGAATTTCAGTGATTGTTCAAACCATGATTATTCAAATATTTCGACTGATGACTTGTATGCATCTGATTTTTACTGTCAGAACCTGACTGTTGCACTCTATTGCATTTCTTTTAAATAGCCAATCACAATGTGACAATAAAGCACCAAAGGAATGATTGAAAGTTGAAGACTTACTGGAGGTAAACTTAATGTACTTAAAAATTGCATGTAATGACTACTTAAAACTCATATTATTTATAGTTTTATACTCTTGTCTAAATCAACTATTTCAAAAGATGATTAGGTTTTTACATTAAAGTAACTTCTGTTTTTTACTTTGCAGTTCACAGTCTTGTGCAATTTGGACTTTACTCCTAGCTAACATTCATATTTTTTTGACTTTTTATTTCTCTTCAAAAGAAAAAAAAATAATAATAAATGTACGCTGTGAATCTGTTGAAAGGATTGGTAAGAAATGACTCAAAAAAACCTAACGACTGCAACTCAGAATCCTTCAGTAAAGACCAATCTACACACTCACTATAGTCTACTTTTTACACACATCATACGCGCAAATGTGTATTTCATGTCCATTTTTATTCTCAAAGTTGACCCAAAGTTCATTAAAAGTGATTTTAAAAAAAGTTTCCTGCGGAGTTGAAAACCATACACTGATCAGAAGTGACACCACATGAATTTAATATTGTAATCAAAAAAATATGTTTTTTACTTTACAGACTAAAGTGTCTCAAGAGCGGGGCATCGATTTCCATTCTGCATAAAGAGTGATTATACAAATTACTTGGTCAAAGCTCAATCTCAGATGACTGTACATCTACTTTGTGTCGTTTAGCACCTCAACGGTCTTTTTACCGTAATGATAATAGCTGTAACCGGATGCTGCGGTCGTCAGAGCGGTAATGTACCTGCAAACAAACAATATACATTTGTTTAATTGGAGTCAATACTTAGAATATTGATGTGAGGATGTGATTGTGAGTAAAACCGCACCACAGTGACTGCAGTAAAACACTGTCAGTGTAGTGAAACACCGGCGCAGCCAGAGACGCCGACACCAGGAACAACTGCACCGCCGTGTTGATCTGAAACACACACAAACACTGTTTTTTTTCTATTTTAACAGCATATTTTTTTCAAACACAAAACAATATAGATTTATAAAAATAATGACCATCAATGGCCATAAGATTCAAATAATCAGCTATCACGTATTACAGATATATCAATGCATTCCTGGCTCAGAGTCAATACAATCTGATATTGGGGAAAAATGCAAACAGAAACATTACTAAAACTGTTAAAAGATGCACATATTAGGACCCAATAATTTCCATGATGATGGAAATATATTACTATTGCACAGTAGAATGTGTTTCTTAAAGTAGTAGTAGTAGTAACAATAATAATACACTTTTAAAATTGTATTTTTTATGGAATATCACATAATTAACAGTGAACTTCTTTAATAAAAGGTGTTAAAAGTATTACATTTGATTACATTTTAAAATAATAATTTAATCGTTAATGTTTTATGCCTTCATTTGATTACCACTGTTTGTGTATTTTTTTTTATAAATGTGCATTAAATCACAAATTAAATAAAAACAAACAGAATTCCTAAAACAAATAAATAAAATGAAATGTAAAAAAAATACAATTATTTTTTAATAAATTATAACTGTTACAATTTTATAAATTCAACTTATTAGACATACTTTTTGATTATTCAAATTTAATTAAACTGTAAAAAAAAAAAAAAACGAATTTAGAAAAATGAAAACTAACATATGCATTACAAGGTTTTATGAAGAGAGAAATATTTGTTTTGGTAAACAGATTGAATGGTCCACCTTGCTGATGAGTGTTGGTTTCAGTCGGGCAGTGGTGTAACACGGGTTGAAGAATTTACTGACTGTTACCTGAACAGACAATAAAGACAAATAATGTGATGGAAATGATTCCTTACACAGCAATAATAATTCTAGGTGCATTTAGCATGTCAAAAATGGTTACTCCATGACCTGTAAAACACACAGACACAAACTAAACCAGTGTAACACTGAAACACAATTCTGACTACACAGTGCATCAGTGCATGCCTTGGTTCCAGAATAATTTTTCCCATTAATTTTTTCTTTCCATATGGATTTGTTAATACGTCTTTGTTTTGTTAAAATTCGAAGCATTTGAAAATCAGACAAAAAGAGAAAAGTTACAAGACTGTGAATTTAACGGCTTTAATGAGGGAAAGAACTCCAGTCCTATGAACCATTGCAAATGACAACTGAATTTAAAGGGGTCATATGATGCTGCTAAAAAGAACATTATTTTGTGTATTTGGTGTAATGAAATGTGTTTATGCGGTCCACATACTGTACATTATTGTTTCTCCTCTATCCTCTATCCTCTAACTCATCGTTCTGAAAAAGCGAGGTGTGCTGTGATTGGCCAGCTATCCAGTGCGCTATGATTGGCCGAATGCCTCAAGCGTGTGACGGAAATGTTACGCCCCTACCATACTGTTATTCCTGCGGCAACCACATGGGACGACCCCAGCCCGGGCTGGACTCTGCTTCGTCCACGGTGAAAGCCGATCCGGCGATCCACAGCACAAAGTTGAAGTATTTCCTCAGCGACCAGCACAGATCAGCTCCAGGCATGACGAAGCGGATATCGTCCTCTTTTGGAAGACCAAACAAAGTAGATTCGCTTTCAAAACGAAGCACACAGCGCCTTCACGACATGGCGGCGGCGGCGGCAACAATACTACAGCGAGAATAAAAGTTACACCTTCTTTCTTTGCGTGAACATTTGGGCGGCGTTATGCAGACCTTCCCACATAGTGAGGTAGATATGTGGGGGCGTGTTAGAACGAGCCGTTTTAGGTAGGTGTGGCTGACTCTTAACTTTCATAAAGAATATCTCTTTGGATTTGAGACTTTAGTCTTTGCAACTTTACAGATCTTCTTTATGCACCAAGAGCTTGTAACACTCCAAAGAGAAAGAAACAATTGAAATCGCATCATATGACCCCTTTAAAGATGTTGATTGTGTATGTAGCAACAACATATCTTACGTTTACTGCAAAATATGCATGCATATCCAAAAATATTTAAGTAATCTGAGAGTGACTCTGGAATTTCAGTGATTGTTCAAACCATGATTATTCAAATATTTCGACTGATGACTTGTATGCATCTGATTTTTACTGTCAGAACCTGACTGTTGCACTCTATTGCATTTCTTTTAAATAGCCAATCACAATGTGACAATAAAGCACCAAAGGAATGATTGAAAGTTGAAGACTTACTGGAGGTGGAACTGTTTTATAGCGCACATAGAAAACAGCATGACTGCTCTGTGAAGGTCCAGATCTGCTCTACAGGTCAGAGAGGAGCTCTGAAGCCATCGGAGCTGTGATGTAGTGTTTCTCAGCGGTAAGTTTGCAGGTGTTTTGTCGTGGCAGCTGTAGTGGCAGGTGGCAGCAGTGCTGGCAGCCAGTCTGTGTGTGCGTCCTTTAGCACAGCTCAACCAGCTCTTCCTACAAGCCGCCAAAAGCATGTCAGCGGCTTTAGCTCAAGAAAACTAGATGATAGATAACCCCGAACTGTCCAACCGAGAATCCAGCAGCATATTTCGAAATTAACTCGTTCATGTTATTTTATTTTTGAGACATTCATATCTGTCGACCCACGTTTCTAATATGCCGTGTTCCGATCTGAATATTTACGACAGTTGTCAAAAGGGGGCGGGGAATTAAAGGGAACGCGCTCTAATATAAGCTTTAAAAAAATAAATGAAGTTAATTGAATGCAGTCTATAAGTCTATAAAATGCGACATATTAAGTGATGTAATATAACATATTATAACATATGATATTATATATATTTTTGATGTTGGTAGAAACAGATACCAAGTTACCACATGTTTACAGTAGTACAAATATCTAGGTGCAACATTAATTGTAACACTGTAAAACATTTTCTTTTATATTCACAGAACTGCAAGTCAGTTTATCAACTAATAGAAATAAATAACCATTTATAATAGAATATAATACATGCAATTCATTAGCTAATGTAACATGAAATGTCATAATAGTTCGTAGTAATTAACATAGAATCTTTTAGAATCTGTCATTTTGATTTTGATTTTTTACTTTATTTAGATGGCTTTTTATAATGAATACAGCGTTCATGTGCATTTGCATGCTCTTTCATTTTTAATCTATTGCATTTGCATTTATTGGCCGCACATGTGTAAGTTCTTATAAGGTTATTTTACAATTACTGATAATGGTATAAACAGACTTCAGCATTCAGTATGGAACACAGCTAACATCACACAATACAAAACTATTTAAACATTGTTTTAATGTTCATAAATGTGGTTACCGTTTGATTTTGTACATTTTATTTGACTATTTGTGTACATGAAAACAATGTACAGTTCATAACATGGGAATACTGAAGCATGCATTACACTGTGTGTTATAAATATAATATCTGTTGCATTAAAAAACTAACACAACAGTACGACACAGTGAGAGCGTAAAACATCATAAAGGTGGCTGGTTCATATGGTTTGAAGCTGATAGGTCCTGTGCCCTTTCTTCAGAAGGTAACCCTGCTCATTGAGTGCGCCGATGAAGCCCTCAAAATCCACAACCTGAGAAAGCAGAAGTGGGAAGAGCATTAAAAAAAATGTAAATGCATTATCTGTGTAACGTGGATGAAGTTCACCTGTATTTGCAGATCTTTGGCGAGCTGTCGTAGCTCCTGGAACTCAAACATGCTTTTGTTTGTGCGTTCTGCGAGTCTGTTTAACGCCGTGACAAATTTCTTGACTTTGGAGCGGTTACTCATCCCAGAGCCCAGCTGAGAGCGGTCGAAATCCAGACGGCCAAACTCATCAGAGTAAGTGTCGGCCAAGCTGAACGCAGAAGAACATGAATGCTTTTTGTTGCATGGAAGAACAATTAACTGTTTTTTATCAATTAAACAATTGTATCTATCTGTATTTATGTTCTACTGTAGTGTTATCTGTATGCACCAAGGGTCTGAGAGTAACGCAATTTCAATTCTCTGTGTGTATGTGCTGTACATGTGGAAGAATTGACAATAAAGCAGACTTGACTTGACTTGTGGAAATACAATCCGAGACTGCCATATTTTAGTTGGGTCTAAATAAATCTGCATTATTTAGTCACAATCATAACACATCATCCCCATGAAAAAATTCTATATAACTTAAAGAAAATGCAGCGTTTGAGTCACCTGTGTTTCATGATCTCCACCACATCCTCCGCATCACTTTGTGTAGCTTTTTCTCTGAGCTCAACACGAGCTCTGGCCTGCAGATAGAGAGAAAACCTTCAGATTGTCACGCAGAGACCCTACATTTGAAGAGTTCCTTTGCAAAAACTGATAACTCCGTTTTTAACAATTCTCAAAAATGATGTTTTTTCATTGTGCATTCCAATTAATCTCAATCAAACTGCAGTTGGGTTATTTTGATTAGGTTAAAAAAAAATCACTAAAAATTACAGCTAACTAACACAATAAAACAATAAAAACATGTTTTTTAAAAATGTAACAAAACGGAGTTATCTGCTTTTGCAAATAAACTCTTCATTTATTATTTATACCCCATTAAATAATTTAGTGCAAGTCTGAAAATATCGAAAACAGACCAAAGATACTGACAAAAATTAAGATGTTTAAATGTTTTTAAAAGAAGTCTCTTCTGCTCACCAAGACCGCATTTATTTAATCAGAAATACAGTAAAACAGTAATATTGTGAAATATTGTTACAATTTAGTTCATGAATTCATGGTTTACACAATATATATATATATATATATACATATGTATATAAATTGCATTTTAAACATTCAAATAGAAAACAGCCATTTTAAATTGTAGTAATATTTCACAATACAATTATTGTATTTTTGATCAAATAAATGTGGCACTGGTGAGTAAAAACATTAAAAATCTTAATTATTCAAACTTTTTGATTGTATTGTACACATTTTTATCTATCAAAATGCAAATAGTAACTCATGGTTTTGCTGCAACGTGGCTGTGATGTAAACTAAAGGCTTAAAAAAAAAAAGAACATGAATATGCAAAGTCACCACAGGAAAGAAAAATCATAAATATGAAATAAAAAGAATAATAAAGCGAACACAGAGTGGAGTAAATGTCGTGATGTCTTCAGTAGAACTGATCTTATATCGCGGTCATCCTGTGGTGATTTCGGTCACCTCTGTGAGTCGGATGAGGGACTCCAGCTGGCGGGTGGTGATGGGTGTGCTGTCGGCCGTCTGGTTCTGTTTGCGCAGCTCCAGATAAAAGTCCTGCAGCACCTGCGCAGCCTCTGCAGAGAGAGTGGGGTGAACGTAGTGGCGGGCGTAGCCCACGTACTTCCGCAAAAGCTGGTGAGGGATGGGGTCAAAGGCCTCTCCTGGAACCAGCTATGGTCAAAGAGAGATTAACATTAGTACAGCTGTAATATACAGTACAGTACCAATAAATAGTATTAGTTGCATTAATAAAACAATACTGTACAGCATAAATTAAGTCAATAATCAAATTTGTTAACATTAGTTATGCATTAGCTAACATGAACTAACAATGATCAATATTTTACAGCATTTACTAATCTTTTATTAATAAAAATCGTATACAATTTATTTAGTCAAGAATATAATTGTTGATTGTTTATGTAAATTGACAGTGCATTAACTAATGTTAACAGATACAACTTTTAATTTTAAAAATGAAATATTAAGAATAATAAATACTATAGAAGTATTAGTTCATTGTTAATAAAGTAGTTAACTACATTAAAAAAATGAAACCTTATTGTAAAGTGTCCTTAATAGAATTAGTTAAGAAAAAATGTAACAAATTCAGTAGTTGTTACACATTTAAATATGTATGAGAAATAGTAAGAGTGATAACTGCAAATACCCCTAATGTTAGTTATTTTTAATAATGAAAGCTATTAGTGAGTTAGTAACGCTACAATAATGTCTCGACATTTCTTAATTAGTTATGCATTAGCTAACAATTTTTTACAGCATTCGTTAATCACTGTAAATTGTTTGTTGTTTGTTCATATTAAGTCACAGTGTAATAATGTTAATAGTTTTAATTTTTGATTTTAATGTTAGCATTAAGTAAGATAAATAAATGCTTTAAATTTATTATTATTTATTTTCATTTTTATTTCATGTCAGTTCAGGTCCATTAACTAATAGTAACAGATACAACTTTTGATTTTAATAATGCATTTAGTTAACATTGAAATGAACATTAAATGAGATTAATGCATGCTTTAAAACAATTTTTCATTGTTAGTTCATGTTAAAAGGGTAGTTCACCCAAAACTTTTAATTCTGTCATCTGACTTCCATTGTATGGAAAAAACTTACTATGATAGTTAAAAAAAAATACTCTGGAAGTAAATGGCTACCGTCAACTGTTTGGTCACAACATTTTTTAAAATATCTTCTTTTGTTGGTTTGGAACAAGTGGAGGGTGAGTAAATGATGATGTAATTTTCATTTCTGGGTGAACTATCCCTTTAACAAATGAAACCTTTTTCAGTAAACCTGGTTAAGAAAAGAAATGTGAAGTGACATTACTTTGAGTGTGTCAGCGAGGGGTTTCTCCGAGGACACCTCCAGAATGGAGATGCTGGACTCCTGCGTGCTGTAGCGTGTGACCGCAGCACTGCTGACCGCACCGTTCTTTCCTGCACGCATGGCCATCACGTGTTCGGACAGCAGGTGGTCGTGGTCCTCGTTAGGGGTGTCCAACAAGATGAAGACCAGATCGAACCTGGACAGCAGCGCGCTTCCCATTCTAGAGTCACACAGGCAACACTTTAATACTTGAAAAAAACTGTTTTCGACTGTAGTGTCTTGCTCTCAAATCTGACATTCATTGCTAAACTAATGAACTGTTACTTAGCAGAAAGTGTTTATTCTTATTCATTTATTAAACATCACGTTGCTGTTGCTGATCTTTCATAGATATCTACTTGTTGCTTATATTAAACCCAATTAACTCTATAATCAACGTCCAACTAAAGAATCAGTAGAATCACAGGCATACACTCACTTCAGGTTCTCAGAGACAGTCTTGGCTTTATTGTAATGCCCTCCGACTGGATTGGCCGCTGCGATGATGGAGGTTCGAGCTGGAAGTGTGCAGACAATCCCAGCTTTAGCCAGACTGATGCTCTGCTGCTCCATGGCCTCCAGAAGAGCCTGATGCTGGCTGCCCATCTTATCAAACTCATCAATACAGCAGATACCTGGAGAAAATATTAAATCTCACATTCCCAGGAATCACCATTCCATGTTTGGATCCTAAATTGATTTAGATGTCCATGTTATAGGTTAAATACAAAAGCAGTCAGCTCACCTTCAACTATTGTTAGTTATATGCTATTTGCACTAAGTGTAAGTAGTGTTAAAGATGCCTTGTGTTATTTGTGGCAGGCTACTTGCATTTAGTGTATATAGGCACTCCAATAAATAAATGG